CTAAGACCTTCTCTGGCATGAGGTTAGGCCTTATCTCCATAACCTGCAGCGTACGTGGAAGCACGTTTTCTACCTTTCTCTTTTCAATATTCATTCTCCATCCTAAATAAAAGGCCCCTGCTTCCCTTTGTTCGGGGACAGCCACGACTTTGGAAATGATTCTGCATGGCCTCCTATTTGCAGCAAATAAGTTCTGCTTTGTGTGACAACTACTTCTGGTTGAGAGTCTGATTTTAACTCGCCAGGAGGAGAACCTACTTTTGGTTCGGTAACGGTTTTAGTTGTTATTCTTCATTCCCCTTTTTTATTTCTTAAATATTATAAAATATACTTTAAAACTTTTAAAATGAAATATTTTAGTGTTATAATCTTCTGAACAGCACTTGGGCATGCCTGAGGCCCTGAGGAGATGCTGGTGGTCTCATACCTTAAGAAAGTGACCACCTCCGCTCAGAATTGCCTCTTTAATTTTTTTCTAATGCAATAATTTGTTTTATTAATAATATTTATTAAGTTCCTGCTATGTCCCAGGCCCCATTCTAGGTGCTAGAGATATAGCAATAATTAAAATAGACAGCTTTTCCTGTGGGAGCCGCTGGGTTGAGAGGAGCGTGGCCTTCTCCTCTCCCCGCCATGGTGTGTACTCGTCCACTGATATCAGTGTACTCCAGAAAGGGGGAGTCATCTGGCAAAAATGTCACTTTGCCTGCTGTGTTCAAGGCTCCCATTCGACCAGATATCGTGAACTTTGTTCACACCAACTTGTGCAAAAACAACAGACAGCCCTATGCCGTCAGTGAATTAGCAGGTCATCAAACCAGAGCTGAGTCCTGGGGTACTGGCAGAGCGGTGGCTCAGATTCCCAGAGTTTGAGGCGGTAGGACTCACCATTCTGGACAGGGTGCTTTTGGAAACGTGTGCCGTGGGGGCCGCATGTTTGCACCAACCAAAACCTGGTGCCCTTGGCACCGCAGAGTGAACACAACACAGAAGCAATATGCCATCTGCTCTGCCCTGGCTGCCTCAGCCTTACCAGCGTTGGTCATGTCTAAAGGTCATCGTATTGAGGAAGTTCCTGAACTTCCTTTGGTGGCTGAAGATAAAGTTGAAAGCTACAAGAAGACTAAGGAGGCTGTTTTGCTTCTTAAGAAACTTAAGGTGTGGAATGCTATCAAAAATGTCTATGCCTCTCAGTGAATGAGAGCTGGCAAGGGCAAAATGAGAAACCACTGTCGTATCCAGCGCAGGGGACCCTGCATCATCTATAATGAGGGCAATGGTATCATCAAGGCCTTCAGAAACATCCCTGGAATTACTCTGCTTAATGTAAGCAAACTGAACATTTTATTTTATTTATTTTATTTTTTTATTTTTTTTTGTTTATTGCAGTAACATTGGTTTATAACATTGTATAAATTTCAGGTGTACATCATTATACTTCTATTTCTGCATAGATTACAT